TTTTCAAGAAGGCCGACAATGCCTGCAACCTAACCGGCAGTATGCTTTGCCAAACCTGGAAGTCAGCCTCTCCATTCATTGTAGACTATCTGGCTATTTTAAAAGGAAACTACAGGTGGGGAGTTTAGGGTATATAGGGCTTCTGTAAGACTTCTATAAGGTATAAACCTTCAAAAAGGCTCCTATAACGGCTATTGACTAGCAGGACGATCTGGCTTTGAAGATGCTCCCTGTTTCTCAAGACTTTTAGACTGCACCATCTCAATCCTACACATTCCTAAGGCCTAAACCCTAAACTTAAACCCTAACCCTGAACCTTGTGCCCTAAGCTGAAACACTAACCCTGAACCCTAAACCCTAAGCTTAAACCCTAACCCTCCACCCTAAACCCTAAACCCTAAACTTAAACCCCAAACCCTAAACCCTAAACCCTAAACCCTAAACCCTAAACCCTAAAACTTAAACCCTAAAGCCCTAAACCTTGGCTGGTTTCGGTGGAAGCCCCGGCAGGATCCCGAACCACAAGGGTCCGAAGGAGCCAATAAGTAGGTTTAGGGTTTATAGGGTTTAGGGTTTAGGGTTTAGGGTTTAGGGTTTAGGGTTTAGGGTTTAGGGTTTGAGGGCTTAGGGTTATAAGAGTTTAGGGTTTAGGGTTTAGTTCAGCATTTAAGTATATTGGAGAGTATATGACTAGTATATATGACGAGTAGGCACTTGGAATCTTAGGGTAAGCTGTCAACCAAATCGCCCAATCCAACGCCTTTGAGCCATGTGCCAGGTGCAGCAAAGGCACCTGTGACAACCTCAGAAGGTCAGTAGAGCCGTCAAACCTAAAGACCCTCAACCTTAAACCCTAAACCTTAAATCCTAAACCAAGTTGGGTCACGGGCTTTCACGAGACGGCATGTAAAGCATGTGGAATTGCAGGGCAGGGTTCAGTGGTTCGTTTCGCATGGCAGCAGCATTTGGTAAACGTATCAGTTAGGGTTTTAAGATACCTTCAAAGTTTGTCGGGTTTGAATAGTCGGGGAAGTCGAGACTGTGGGCTCTGTGAAAAAAGAGTCTCTTCGAATTTTGCGGGCAACGGGTGGCAACAATTGCATCAGGCACGATATGCCTTATGGCATATACTCGAGGGCTCCAGTTACTTAACTAGTAGGTTGCTAGACATATATTATGCAACCCAGTAACCCAATAGTTTATGTAACTGGAGCCCTATGGCCCTATGGATATGCAATCTCTTGCAGCACTACATGAACAGTCGTGCGACGTGTCTGTCCACGACTGTGCGGAAGTACATGCGCTGATTGCACTTAACAGGTCCTTGCAACGGGGTCCCACGAGTAATTACCTGTAGCAGTCCACCCGATGCGCTGTCTCGTCTGGGAACCTAAATGGTATGGCATGGAGACAGGCTTCTCTGTGCCATGAAGTGCCTGACACTATGAAATTCCGACTTCTGCGTCGAAGCGGCATTCATCACTGCGAACACAGTGATTACGATAAACACAATCATGCACGCCGCTGCCAACGCCGAGACTTCTCCTGGGCGGTGTCAGGAAAGTCAAAGGCATTATGGGTCTAAACCCTAAACCCTAAACCCTAAACCCTAAACCCTAAACCGTCTAGGGCTTACTGTAGGGTTGGGGTTGCAGGGGTCAGGGTTTCTGCGCTTCGTCTAGGCAGCAGCTGTGGTTAAACGATGCGCACAGCCTCCCCAATTCCGATACATATTACAGAGATTCGCTTGCAGCACCTCAACCAGTACATGTCGTTCGGGTTTGATTTTAGGCTGCCTCGTTCTTACAAGCCTCAAGCAAAGAACCTAACCATAAACTACGCTGTCCAAACAAATGCTACCTGCTACCATCATAAAGGAAACTACAGGTGGGGAGTTTAGGGTATTTCTATAAGGCTCCGAAAACGGAAACTACCCACCTGAAACCCTAAACCCTAAACCCTAAACCCTAAACCCTAAACCCTAAACCAGTTTAGGGTTTAGGGTTTAGGGTTTAGGGTTTAGGGTGTCCTAGATCAAGGGCCTGGCAAACTTGGAAATTTGCTGATTCTCGGCCTCTGGTTCCCTCACTCGAAGCCGCTTAGGCGAGATAACGAGCGCTGAGGCCTTTCCTACAAAGCTTGAGCTGTTTATGCACCATGGCTTCATAAAAAGAGCAGCCAACAACGAGCAAAAGAGCATGGCGCTTCAGAACCCGTGGTTGTTTGGTCGCCTAGTTTGTGGGATTTGGGGAAGCATATGATTATGTGACTAGGTACTCGGACCCCCTAGGTTGAGTAGAAAACCTCAGCTGACAGAATGAAATGCAGAAGCCCGAAACAAACAAACGGCTTCCTAAATCCACAAGACCAGAACTCCAACAAACTCGGCCTGGAACCCTCAACCCTCAACCCCTAAGCCCTAAACGCTAACTACAGGATAAGCCCCCTCCAAAAAATTCTCGGGCTGAAATATTCCAAAGCATCAGAAACCCTAAACCCAGAACCTGAAACCCTAAACTCTAAAGACTCTTCATCCGGCATGTATATATATATATATATAAGGCTTTTGGGCGTGAGGGTGTTTCAATAAAGGTTCAGAATTCATGTGGTTTAAGGATTATTGTTTAGGGTTTAGGGCTTCGGTTTTACATGGTTTCAGGCTGATTAGTAAGGGCTTAGTATGCTCGGGATTGAGGGTTGACAGCCCAAGATGCGAAGTGGTATCAGTGCATCTTCCCAAGACAAACCTCCCGAGATGGACATGAAGAGCGTCATCATACCTGCTCTGATAGGGAAAGGTTCCGTTAGGGATCAGTAGCACGTCTTGGAGTCTTGTAATAACGATACTGTTGTTCGAATCATTTCGTGCAAGGAACTGTCGTGAAATGCAGTACGACATTTGAAAGCACATCACTCCCCTACACCCAAAACCGTCAACCCTAATCGCTACTAACCATTCAGGTTCTCTGACGGAGCCCCATGCCATGGAAAGGGTTTAAAGTTTGCAATTTGAGCCTACTTTGGCGCAATCAGAGGAAACTGCTGCCCAAAGCACCCAAGCCTAGATTTGATTTCCGACCTTGAACCCTAAGACCTCAAATCATACAGGTCTAAAGTGCCATAAGTACCCTCAAGCCACACAAGCCAGCCTACCCCAAACCCTAAAACGCCCTTACACCCGGCCACCCTGACCCACCCCACTACAGCCTGGCCCCAACCCCTCATCGGCAAAAACCCGCGCTCACGCAAACAAAAACACCAAAAGCATAAACATGGTCGGGCCGCTTTCCGGCACCCCGGACCAGCGTTGCAGGTCTTTCTGCAAGCAGATACCGTTGGCCCACAGGGTCTCGTCCTCGAAGCGCTGGTAGCCTGAGTATATGTCTAAAAGGTTATCATTGAACTACTACGAAGCATACCCTTTCTAAGTATAAATGTTGGTATTATTTGTGGACAATAGAGCTTTGCATCGTCTTGCTTGTGGGGTTGTGTTCACCCTTTGCTTTATGCGTTTCAGCTTGACGGCGTGGGGTTCGGAGGCTTTTTGGTGGGTTCAGGGCAGGGCTTTGGGTTTAGGATTTGAGGTTTAGGGTCTAGGAGTTAAGGATCTAGCTAGGGTTTAGGGTTTAGGGTCTAGAAGTTTAGGGTTTTGGTCTGGAGCTCTAGGGGCCGGGCCTTTTGGGTTTCAGGGTTTGGGGTGGTTGGGTTTAGGGTTCAGGAGTTTAGGTCTAGGGTTGAGGGTTTGGGCCTTGGAGCTCTAGGGTAAGGGCTTTTGGTTTATGGTTTAGGGTTGAGAGTTTAGGCCTTGGAGCTGTAGGGTAAGGGTCTCTGGGTTTAATGTTTAGGGTTCAGAGCTGCTGGGTGCTTGAAAGGTTGGGTTTAGGGGATTGGGGTACTGAACAGCTCGAGACGGGGGGTTTTACAGAGCCCGGCAGAGGATCCCGGAGATGCCCGAGTTCCCATTAACATCAACATGTCTTGCTTTGAACATGCCAAACAGACTACATATGTAATATATAATAATATGTATATATACATATATATATATATATAGATGAGCATTGATCAATATTCCTGTTTCTGGAAATGGTTT